TAAGCCGCCCCGAGGTTTCGGCAAGGGGCGGCATAGAAATGTTATAATAATAATAATAATAATAATAATAATAATAATAATAATAATAATTTAGAATTTAAACATTCAAGTATAAATTGAAATGATTAAAATTCCTGAAGGATTCCTATGAAGAATTTATTAGGGTAAGCCTACACATATCTTCTCAGAAATAAGTTCTATGAATACATGGTAAATGGATATATGATTGCAGCCAGAAGTTGACAATCTATTTGGAGTCTAATGCCACCCTGTTACATTTTGTCCTTCCTTCCTTGCTTTCTTGAGCACCTCCACTTCAGTCCATATTGGCAAAAAACAGGGCAAAAGATAACCATAGTTTACATAACTTACATATGTTATATAGAATAACTATGGATGCAGATTTAGAAATAGTTATAATTTAATTAGAAATGCATCTCTCCATATTATGGAAGACTGTGACTAGGTGACCTATAGGGTTTTATTTCCCAGGTGTTCTCTGAGGATGGGCAACAGTCCTTAGGGTTCATTATTTCTAAACTGGAATTGGAAAGGACACGCCTTCAAACAGAAGACAGTCCTCTGGTACCCATTGAAATGTAGGACTGTCTTCTGTAAAAGAGCACACATGGCCACCCTCTTTTTGAACTGAACAGAGTATTTTTTAAGCAGTTCACCAAGTGGCATAAAATGTCTAAATAGCATAGGAGGCAGGGAATGAACATCTGCAAGAGAGAAGAGGTGTGAGCAAGGCTTCTCAACAGCTATTTCACATGCATGATTGGGCATCTTATCTCCACCAACTATCCTACTGCAGTTTACAGCTTTGTGGATAAGCCTACGAATTCCTTCTTCTCTTCTTTACTACCCTACTAAGCTGCCTGGGTAGCTCTCCCTGCAGACATTCCTTTCCCTTCCATTGTAATCCTATGAAAAGAAGAAGCTAAATGCCAAACATTACCTGAAGGACTTGTGTCAGAGGAAAAATAACTCTTTGGTGGGAAGCAAGTAACCATATATCCCCATATTTTCACAGTGCATTGCACTGAAAATAGGCACAACAAATAATTCTGTGAATACTTTATCTTTTAAAATATTGCCCTTGAGAGAATTCAGTTTATGGGCAATTCCAGAGATATCTTTGAAAATAGCAGCAAGTGTGGCATGCATATGTCAGATACCACCCTGCCAAATAAACAGCATAATTAAACCATCTAGTTCAGTTTTTATTGTGCTGTTTTGTAAAGTTGCAGACTGAACGAATGAGTTTGTAGCTACCCATTCATAAGTTGCTAGATACTGCATCCTCCCTCTCTCTCCCCCTCTCCTCCCACCAAAAGCTTTTCTACCCTTCTCTTCCCCCATCACATTCATACACACAGAAGAGCAAAAAGGAAAATTTGCAAACATTACAATAAAACTTCCATGCTCACACGTGATGGACATTGCATCCAAAAAAGGTCTGCATTAAAACATCTGGATGTTTTAATAACTGTAAAGAGAAGCTACCATGTGATCAAGGAGCTCTACTGATCTGATCTGAGGTTACTAGGACTTGCTCATATGCACATGGGAATTGCTGGGGCAGCCACTGCAGTGAAAGATGAAAAGTGAAGCAGGAAAAGGTGGAAAACGTCTGCTGTGTATACCACTTCACCATAATTCTCCAACCCATCCCAGCAATCTTACCAAGCAACCACTGAAAACTTAACTTGGAGAAGATAACTTGTATAATTATGTAGATTATGCAGACTGAGGGTCCAGCATGCCTTTTCTGAAGCTAGAAGAAACTTTCTTAAGAAGCCTGATAACTATAACACCCAGTCCTTTGCATGTTAGTTCTGATCCGGTGCCTACAGGCTATCCATGTTCAACTGCTGATAAGCTGTTTGTCGGTCCTTGTTCTTTCTTCTTACAGTTGTAATTTTTAACTAGACTTGGACTAGATGGCTGTTTAAACAGAGGACATTCAAACATGTTCAAATGGAGGACTGTCTGCCAATGGCCTTTCAGAGAGAGAATATCCTCAATCACATGAAACACACGCCGAACTGTCCCTGGACTCAGCTGTGAACTTTCTGTGCCTCAGTCCCAATATTTCCCATTATTCTGTGAATCCATCTATCCTCTTTGCCTGCAGGTCTTGTTGCAATGGAAGGCATAGCCTTTCATTGTCTGTCAGAACAGAAGCAACTCTTAAACTTTGCACAAAGTTTTGGTTTCTGTATACCATTCCTGTTCATGCTGTGAATTGTTCTGTCTCTAGATTTAGCTGCCCGCAGTGCCAAGACCAAGATATTCCCTTTTAAAGTTGGAAGGTTAAATAATAGGTATAAAAAGGTAGGTTTCAGTAGTCCAAAAGCTTTTTAAAGTCTGCACTTGAGTGAATGTCAATAACAGCAGATTAACAATGGCAGGGCAGAAATGTGCTCGTTAGTGTGGCTAAAGACAAGGTTGTAGTTTATGTATATTCTGCACCCTTATGAATTACCTATTCAAGCAAGTGTACAAATTGTACCATCCCATCCTCTCTTGCTGTATATTCTTTCTATAATGTAGACTGTAATTGTAGGAAAAGACCATGTTATATAAGTATTTAAGTCCATTTTTCTTAAGGTTTTTTTTTTACCTTCAATCCACCTTCTGAATTTATTCTACCTTCTTCCCCATCTCAGTTCAAAAACAAGAATCTGCCCTGGTCCTCTGACATATTTTGAACTGATTTTTCACATGGTTTCATTTTAGAAATAAAAACTGATAAAAGAGCAGGCAGAGAATGACACCCCCCCCCCCCCCAATAGAACATGCTTCTTTGCCTGCTGGCAAGGATTTAGCAAAGAGAGGAGTTACAATGTATGCAGCGCTGCAGTTTGCTTAAGGCAAGTAATATGTATCATATACTTTATTTCCCTGTGGTTACCAAAACACACTGAACCTGAAATGGGGCAGCCATTAACTCAGAGAACTCTCGCTCTCTGAAAGGATCTGCAGACTTCCATTACTCTAAGCAGTCCTTGCTCACTGCCCAGGACAGCATTTTGAAGGAGACAGAATTTTGTTCCAGCAACAACATACTGAAGGGCCTTCCCAAAGCTTGCTTGAGGCCATGCTTCTGCTGTTCAGGAGAGCATGAATGACGAATGGGCAAACCAGAGATACAGAACAACCGGGAAGTAACGAAGAAGAGAACAGACCATCAGTAGGAATGAACGGAAGTCTGTGGTGTGTGAAGCAAGTTGGCAGCACTCACAGTCAAAATACAGTGTCACCTCAAAAGTTAGTGGCATTTTGAAAGGCATGGGGGTGTTGGTGTGGGGAGGGGCAGAGTATGTGTGAAGTGAATTTGCCATGAGATGCTGAGCTGTTACATCCAATAGGACTAGATACAGGAAATGGCCATGGACTTTAAAGAATATAATGTTGGACTTAGATCTGCAAACTCACTAGATGTCTTTTCATGATTCTTTGTCAGGCTAATCTACATCACACAGCTATTATACAGATAAGTTTGTCCTTCTGAGCTTCCCATAAGAAGGAGTGTTAACAAGTGAAAGAATAAATGCTTTACTATATCACAAAAGTCTGACAAGGGGGAACTATAGACTAAAAACAGTCACATGGGCCAGCTTAATTGAATTAGACTCCAGTTAAAGTGGTAGTCTTATGCAATTATGGTATGTGTGAAGCTGGGAAATCAGTTTTGTTTGAGCTTCACAGACCTCTGCAGCCATTTTGATTCTCTGATCAGGAACAGACCATGCTGGGTTTTTAAATTTAGGTTCTGAATTACAGCAGGCCTGAAATGTTTCCATGGTGTCCCTGTGGCCACAATGTAATTAACACTGGACAATCTTGAAAAGCTCTACTGGGTGGCAAAGGGAGGTTTGGATAGAGGCAATGAGGCATTCTTTGCCGTCACTGCCTCAAAATATACCCTATAGTGGGCACGTGCCAGGTCTCTGTTGCATTCACTGGGAGAATTTCTCCATTTGTATTCCAACTGTCTCCTAAGTTGTTTCGTTGCTCTCACTTCCAGAGTGTACCATGAAGTTGTATGAACTATGCAACAGAGAGGGCATTTAGGAGAGATGATGTCAACCACCGAGCTCATGTTTGCATTCTACAGACTGATCGCCAGGGCTGATCACCATTGACAGAAGCGCCAGCCATATCAGCTGGAAGATTCCTCCAAACCCTCTTCAGACCATCTGGCAACAGACCATCTTAATGGGTCCCCATGCATGCATATGGGAAAAACCGCTCCATCTAAATCACAGCAGGTGATGATCTGACCATGACAAAGGGACTGAGTTGAAGTTCCTCACTTCCCATTCTTATATCTGGATAAGTCTAGATCATGCCCTGTCATATCATTGGGCCATTGGTGGGATAGTCCCGTGGTTGCCATAGCAGCCATGAAATCCTGAGCCATATCAGTTAGGATGCCCTCGGCATGAACGTAGAAATCCTCCAGGACCAGCAGCTAGGGCACTCCAGCATAACATCTGACCCACCTCTTGTCAGCTCAAGTAGGGAGACTGATGGGTTGCAGGGTGGGCAGTACACCAACAGAATTGCCACTGGCCCAACACAAGGTGCAAGCACTCTAGACTAGTCATTGGACCGACATGGCACCTGGAGAGAGAAATCCTTACAGGCCACAGCAAACCCCCTGCCCATCTAGCCTGATGGGCACAACTGGGAGAGACTAATTCCTCCCTGTTCTCCAACCCAGGTCTCAGTTACACATGATTGGCTGACTCATCCATAAATAAATCCATGAAGTAAGTTTTATTCTGCACCAATCCGGCATTTAAAAGCAGCAATTGGAGATCCAAGGGGAGGGTTATATGGCAACTGTGAAACCCATGGGTGCAGGTAGGACTGAAACATGGCACAGCCATTAGCTATCCGGGCTGTGTTTCCTTTACCTGATCCATCCTTCTCCCAGCACTATCTTGAGTGCCTCTTACTTTTCAGAGTCCAGCTTGAACATCAGACATTTCTCAGTCCATTTAGGGTAACATTCTTTGTTGGAACACTTTGAGCATCACTTTGCTTGCATGGGAAATTAGTGCAATGGTTCTATAATGACTGCATTCTTTTGCATCGTTCCTGGAGAATGGAATGTATATTGATCATTTCCAGCCTGTGGGCCATTGGTTCGCGCTCCCCCCCCCCATGTGTTGGCACAAATGTTAAGTGTACAATGCCTTATTTCTTTTGGCAATGCGTTTGTTCCACCCAATACTATATATTGCATTCTCTTGTGTATGATTATGCTGCTGGCAGGTCTTTGTAGCAATGTTGGTGGCAGGGCAGCTTGAATCAGGTCTGCCCTGTGAAAGGCTCAACTCTGTGCAGCTTTGAGATCTGTGTGAAAGGCTTTGCAATTGCAAATTTCCTGAGTCTTAAACAAATCTTGATAGAAATTATAGTCTATTTTAAAAGGGAGATCCACAAACAGGTCTGGCATGCATCAGATCAAATCACCACCAATGTGGTTGAGATGGACTGGAATCCAGAGGGCCAGGAAAATTCATTGTGTTTTCATACCCCAAACAGTTTCCTTGCACATCCTGTTTATGCATCTCTTCCTCTACCACAGCCATGTAGTCAAAGGCTAAAAGAAAAGCCGCCCACACTTTATTTTCATGTATCTTCTTCTCTTTTAGGTGGAATGGTAATATGTTTTTAAAATGACCTGAGAATCACAGCTAACAATGCACAGTCTTGTAAGGATCTCACATGCATCTACTTTTCTATCAACTGTTTTTAAAGGCATATGTTTCCATTTTCATTTACAGAACTTTGGCTTTAAAAAAAGAAGAAGAAATCTGTCATCTCTGTGTAGGTTTTGGTGGCCTTGAATGTATTATCAGAACTACTGTTATCTTTAGCCTTGAAGGAAATATACTCATGCAATAGCATCTGTTCTGCTGGAGCCTTTACCTATTTGTGATGGAGAAATTGACTATCTTGGAATATTTTCTGGCCATCATTGACTTACATCTATGGCTAGCTAGATGTATATGCAGTAAATGCAGGCCTATACTTCAGACATAAATTCTGTGTCATCCTAATACACAGTCTGGTGTTTTATAAACTATGATCAACAGGCTGCCCCAGGGTAGTCTTGTAACATACAGTAGATCTGAAATGCCATTTTGGAAGATGGGATAAGTCATTCTAAATATTCATTGTGAAGTCTTGTGTTGTAGAGAAGGACTTGCATTCTCATTCCTTTCTGGTAAATTAATCAACCTTGGTGGTTCAGCTATAATACTAGATATTTATGAAACTTTTGTTCCTATGCCAAATCATACAAAATTGTCCGATTTAGAAATGAAAAAGTAAACAGGACCATGGGAACTGATTCCAGTCCCAACTTGCATTTGAGTTTGGCTGTGCACACTTGTAGAAATGCCCAGCTCCCCTCCAGACCCCTACATTTTCATGCTTTACCATTTTAATTTCTTATTAGATCCTTTCTTCCTTGCAAAAAGAACCCAAAGCTACTTACGGAGTCCATCTTCTCTCCATTTCCTCATCTCCACCACTTTGTGAGGCAGCTTAAGCTGAGAATAACCAACTCAAAGATCCCCAGTAAGCTTTATGGCTAGGTGGGGATCAGTGTTATAGCTACTGCACCACACTGTCTTTCACAGCATATAGGGGAGAAATCATTATTTGTTTTGTGGAATATCTGTGCAGTCCTTGTAAAATTGTCTTACATACTATGTGCAAGTTTCATTTGCTTGAATACAGAAGATTGATACAATTCACACAGGGCTTGTATAGTTCCGATGCCAGTATTGTCACATTTCTATTGTCACCCTGATACCCCTTCAATTGGGCTTGTGGACGCTTACCAAAATCTTTTCATAGATACTACCCATTTTTAAAAATCTTTACAGGTAAAATCCATTAAATTCTTACTTACTTACTTACTTATACCAATCAAACAAAACTGATATATAGTATGACCTTGGAGCAAAATATCAGTGGTATGCTGAAAAACTAAGAGTGTAATCCTATGCATGTTTAAATGGAAGCCATGCTGCAGGGACATGGTATGATTTTTAGGCCTTCTACCTAAATATGCAGATGAATGTGCCTTAATTTCACTTGGAAAGGCATGATGCATTAACTGGATTAATAGTCTGATTTATAGAACGCCCTGATACTTTTGGTTCATCTTTTAATATACCGGTTGAACAAATGAAAATCAAGAAATTATGACTCTCAGAAAGTATGTATACAGCAATTCAAATATAAGTATCCCTTAGTGTAATGTTAGCAATTCTCACCTCATTAATGAATTAATCCTTGATAATGTATTATATATCTTGCCTTGCATCTCAGAAGTAGAACAGCAAATGTCATTGAAGATTTTGCCATTAGAGTGGTCTACCATTATAGACTAATCTTTCTGACTTTGGTTAGATAATTAATTATATGGTAAAAGGCTGACTATGGTTTCACAGGTGTGATGGTCAGTGTTCTTCTCTGGAGCTACCTTGCACTGAAGGAAACTGTTTTTGCTTGAGCAAAATTTTCATGTGGGTAAAATTTTCACAGTAAAAGGTGTGTTTGGAATAAGCTTTCTTTTTCTTTCTTGCCACACATTTATTTAAAGAGCTGCACAGCTCTAGAAAAGTGCTTAACATATTACGCCTAATGTAAAATAAGTGCTGATAAGAACTAAGTAATTGATCGGCAAGTGAGTTTCATTTGATATCATGAGAGAATTGAACCTCATGAGACCCTCACAAGAGAAAAGAACATGACTGACCATATCAAAAAATGGCCATGGTAGAAGATCGTGTGGTTCACTTATTGAGCAGCCACGGTGGGTCATCATGTTGTGTGCACCCAGGACCATCCCTGCAGGGTAGCACATCTTTCGCTCAAAAGCCACCTTCAGAACCTAGTTCCTTTAGCAATTGTGTGTTTGTGGGGAATGGCATTTCCTTCAGGTGACACAATGGCAGAAAAGATGCCAATACAAGGGCACAGCAAGGAAGAGTTTTGTGGAAGCCACCTGTGGATGCTGGAGTCAGCAGGGGTCCTGAGGAGGAAAGAGAGCTTCCCAGTGCCCAGCCATCTGTTGCTTTACTGGACAACAAACCAGCCCATAGTAGCTTATTGTCACAGTGCCTTAGCGTGACAAGTGAACATGCTTAATGGCAGAAGCAGACAGTGGAGGAGAACTACAACTAGTGGAAGGAAGGTTATAAGCATTCAAGGTAGACTGCTCTTCTCAGATGATTATAAAGAACAGAAATCTAGTAGAAAAAAAATGGAGACATAGTCAAAATTGCATGTCCTTCAATCTTGGGAAGAAAAGGAAAAAGAAAGGTGGGAAGAGGGAAAAGAAACAGCAGAGGTGTTGGCTGGAGGTGTTCAGGATCAAGTGCAGGTGTCACTCTGCTGCCTCTTGCTCCGCATGAGGCCCAGAAGCAGACCCCTTTTTGTGCCAGTCTCATGTTGGCACAGGAATTTTCTCTGCCATCGATTTCATTTGGTGCAGGGTGCAATTGGAGAACAATTGAGAAGAGAAAGCCACTGACAGCCCCACCTCCTCCTGCTTGCGAGCTGACAGGGTTCTAGTGGATCTACCTTTCCAGCATGCTTAAGGCTACTCTGCCTGTGTATAGACCTGCATAATCACTGCATTATATAAAACATCCAGTCCTGTTAATCCAGTGTATGAAATGATTAGGTTACAGTTCAGATAAGATTGCTTAAATTAACCTTATTTAAATTAATAGAACTTAAATTGTCTCCATTAGTCCTGAAGATCATTTAGTCTTTTTCTTTCAATTGTTCTCTAAGTTTTTCCAGTAAGCTCAGCAAGTTCTAGAAATAGGCATTTGGTCACCCATGTATCCTAAAATTTATTAAACATGTGAGTCTTTAGAGGATCTGGGAATGTTGGACTTGGACTTGGGAGAACTGAGTTCTAGATGCCGGTCAGCCATGAAGCTTTGAGTGCCTTTGGGCTCACCGTGAACTCTCAGTCTCACTGACCTCACAGGTTGTTCTTGTGAAGATGGCATGAATATTAAAACCTTGTGAGCTCTGGGTTCCTTGCAAGAGAAAGAAAGGCGGAGTGTAAATGAATGTTATAATATTAATAGTAATAGTAATCATCCTTTTCTTGCTTGCTTGCTTTATTTTTCATTCCCTGCAAATATACCAAAGGGTTAATTTGGTAACACCGTATTTGTAGCAAAATCCAGTATTGATTTCCTTAGAAATCCTTATCCTTCATCGG